CTAAGTAGTAATCATTGCCTGTTTTTTCCGCTCAATTTATATAGATAACTATCCTAAACTTAAATTGAGTTGGACCCAGTTACATTTGTATTACATGGAAAGAAAGGAAAATCTGTCGGCAGGCTTCACAAAATATCAAAGTTTTTTATGGATGGATGGATGGATGACATGTTTGGCCTAAAAGCCAGGTTCACAAAATCGTCTTCTTCATTGTTATATACAACTGCCGTAGTGTATTATACACTCCTATTGCAATAACATAATGCATGACACGCGACACGCCACACTGGCTAATTAGGCAGCTTATTATTATATATACCTGATTCTACCAGGCATTACTTTTGTATAGCTCTTTCAAATCACCGTTTTGCAACTTGCTGATGGGTTTCTTGTGATTATATATACAGATAGACAGATTAGAAGTGCATGGCTACATGCTATATAGGGTTAAGAATCGATCGACGTGGCATTTGTGGTTGGATGTTGGACTGGTCAGTGAAAGAACTGCGGGGAGAATCAACAAGAAAAATGCAGGACAAACGAGGGCAGCTTTCAAGCTTTCTTTGATATGTTAAAAGCTTTCGCGCTACATGAATATATTACACACTGGAGAAAGTGATGTCGCATGAAAGCAAGTTCATACAGTCTGCTATTTCTTCGCGTGGAAAAGGGAGGTCGACAGGCACGTATCGACTCCATCGTCACTCGTTAATATTATTTAAGAGCTCAAATATTCAATAAAAGATTACATGGTTAAAAAACCAATGACATGTGGGTCCTATGTGCGCATCAGCAAACCACCTTAAAGACCACTCTAAACTTTTTTTTGGGGGGGTATATTTTTGTATTTTGTCTAGTATTCCAGTTCCAGTGGATCTTTAGTTCCCAAAAAAAAAGAGTTCCAGTGGATCTTTCAAATTCTTCAGCAAGAAGTTTAGGTGGCAAAATGAAAACGCTTTCTAAAATCACCATGATGCTAATACTTTATCACAATTATAGGAAAGGTAAAGGACATAGCTAAGTAGTTGGGAAATCACTTGGTGTGATACTCACCTGCACGCTAAGCTAGTTGAGTACTAGCTACTCCCTTCATTTCTTTTTCCAAGGCCTATTTGCTGAAAAAAGTCTTTCAAGGTGTACTTTGGGCATTAATTTCTAGTACAATATGTCGTCAATTATACTATAACCCAACATATACTGCTAACAGACATGTGAAGTACGAATTTGTTAATGTATTTTTGTGCAAACATATAGATTTGTGACTAATTGGTATCAAATCTTACAATGTTTGACCTTTCTGAATTTCAATATATACGCTCTACATTTTGAAAGGGAGAGGATTCGTCGTCACTAATGTAAAATACTCATGTATATTACTGAAAAGAAAATAAACTCCAGGGTACAAATTCATCAATATAAACAAATAACAGTTTGTTTCTTTTTCAGATATAAACAAATAACAGCTAACTTAAGGAAGAAATGAGAATATATCCTTTACCTGCAAAACCCGCTCCACAATCTGATGTTCTAAATTTCCAAAGGAGGGGGCCACCGGCCAGGCATACATGAACTGCACCTCTAACACTTTAGCCAATCAAGCATCGACAACCAAAAATGAGCTTAAATTATTACATCAGGATGATTTCCGTGGGATGCGCTGTTGAAACTAGAGGCCCAGAAATTAACACGAGATGGATAGATAGATGTATATATTTCCGATATATAATTAAATCTCGATGGGAAATTGGGAACATACTCCGTATCTAGTAGGACCCGCGCCTAGTGCATGGCCTATGGACGCAGGATGACTGCGCACGTACACGTCCGCGGACAGCTAGCAACGGGAGGAGAAAACAAAAGGTGTGACAAGGACAAAGGCGACTCGCAGGGATATTCCTGTCCAACAGCATTCACTACTTATTGTTCTGAGCCAAGACCCCTGAAAAACTAAGCAAATGATCGATAAATAAACGATACATATATACATACATGTGCATATAAATCAGGCGCATATACATGTAACAAGTCCTGATGAGGTTATTAATTGTTACATGTATATGTAGTATATATCACCATCACACACAAAAACATTTATATATGCGCACGTATGCCGTGGATAGATAGATAGATAGATAGGAAATTTGTATTACAAGCTATAATGACTTAGCGCGCTAGTGCGCGTCTAGTTGGTTGGCACACGGAGGGGCCGCGCGGGGCGGGGGCATGGGCGTGGTCCCTTCGCTTTCGCCTCCCCCTCTCGCTCGCTCGCTTGATAGGCGTCTATATGCTACACGGGAAGATTGGATTGGGATTGGATGGTGCCCTACCATTCCAATCCAAGGCCAGGGACGGCCGGCCCCATTGTCCTACGCTACAGCCCCACTCTCTCTCTCCCTCTCTTTCTCTCTCACAAAGGCAGCACAAAGCTGCGTACCGTAAGCTTCCACGGGCCTACCCCGCGTACTATGGACAGGAGGATGCGGATGCGGTCCTGTTCCGATCTTCCATCCCTCTGGATTCCCGGCTGTACCGATCATTCGTTCATCATCACCAGCCTAGGCCATCACAATTTAACACACCTCTCTCTCTCTCTCAATAACGCTCAGTGACTCCTATTATTATTATTATCATTATCATTATTGTAAATAATAAACAAATGAGTGACCCCTATTATGAAGAAATGGACGGATATTGTGAAGTAAATCACTCACCGTGCATCATCGTGTGTACCATAGGGATTAGGGAGGGGGTGGGCCTATATATGCTTCCTGGGGACCCCAGAAAAGATGCCCCCGTTGTCAAACTTGCCTTCCCCGTGATCTTCTAGCGCCAGCCTTGCTAATTGCCATGCTCTGCTGCCGCCGCCCGCCTTCCCTTCTCTCATCAGAATAAAACCACCTCTGTCCATCCATCCATACAATAATATATAATCACCTTTTCGCAAAGAAAAAAAAGGCACACAACTATGCGTGATAGATTTAGCATTTACTATATAGGCCCAGTGATTTTGTACCACTGCTCTGCACACAGGTTAACTACATCCAAAATTACCTGTAGGGTCACCCTCACCCAGTCCAAATTCTGGAGTGGACGAATGAGCACTTCTTCCCTGTCCCTGTCCCTGGGGCCAAAAAAAGGAAGTGAGCACTAGCAGTTACAGTCAAAAGGTAGGTAGGTACTTACCTGACAGTCCTTTTTCCTGGCTCAACTGCAAGTCCTGCATGGAGGGAGGAAGAACAGATGGTGACATTGATTCTAGGAGCATCTATTTATTTGTTGAATTCAAACAACGACAGTTGATAACTAGCATATAAAATCTCCGGAACAAGTAATATATACACATACAATCTTCAGAAATAATAATATAGATATGCCCACACTATACGCAACAGACAACGCAAGGCTCCAGAACGGATGAGATCCGTTGCATGGGGAATCAAAGGAGAAAATGATCAGCTGGAAACTAGACTATAAAATTCACCAATCAGAGCCTTTTGATTCGTGCCGCGTTTGTTTAATTGGCAACGCGTATCCGCCGTCACATGGGCACAGACGGGTGCCATTACAATCCTAATCATGGAATCATGGATACAAACGCTCGTTTCTTTAGACAAGCAAAAGATACCAACAATAATACGCCCCTTGACTAGCTCGTTCCGCATACATTACTCAAGAGAAACTTGTCTCCTCCAGTGGACCCTTTTTGTATGCAAAGTTTCATGAAAGAAATTCACAGGCGCTGAGCTCCCGCCTCTCTCGCAGTGATCAGTGCCTCCATTGACACTAGCGACAGTCAATCGGACAAATCATTATACTCGTACCTGCACGATTATCCTTGTCTTTGCAATTATAGGAAGCTTGATTCTTGACAGACATTCAGCGCCTGCAACCGTGCTTCCTGATGTTGGACTGCAGTAGTAACTATTTGTGATTAGAATTGCTAGACAGCCTGCTAGCTACCGGAGATAAACAAAAGGAAGATGCTCTCTGTCCTGGAATACGAACATCTGCTGACATCGCTTTTTTCCCCACGATCCCAACTGTGATGATTGACCAAGGCTTTTCCCCCCAGAGAGAAGTGACCCAGTGAGTTACCTGAAAAGCAAGAAGAAAAAAGGACGACACTTAGGTCTGACGCATAAAATCTTGCAGGTGAGAAGAAAATGAGGTGCACACGCACGCACGAAACGAACAGCAGCTAACACGACTAGTCTTAATTAGCAACAGAGGAAAAGTGGACAATGCTTCTGCCCAACTGTGTGCTCTGCCGTGCATGGAGCACCCGTGACACAGAAGTAGCTGCAGAAAAGAGATAAAAGAAAAACTGGCTGCTAAAGGTCACAGTCACTCACCATGGCAGCAAGAGCATCAATCCGTGTCCTAATAATGTGAACTCTGATAGACACGTTTCACTTTCACTGGCTTGTGCCCAAAGAAACACACCGGGCATGGGAATTGGGATGAAAGGAAATGGAGGGTGGTCTAATGTAACAGTTTCTTGCACAAAGGTCACGACAATTAAAATATCGGTGGAGGTGGCTACGGGGCTACCCCACCGGTTTTGGCACCAGACATAGATTCTTAGGAGATGATGAGACAGACGCCCACACATAGCCAGAAGCAAACCAAAGGAAGGGCTAAACCTCCCTTGGCACAAGCCCACAACCACCTCCACCACCACCTTTAAAAGAAGGTGCTAAAGGGCTGTCCTGCAAAGAAAAGGAGAGGAGTGCCCCTAACCTTTCCTTGCTCTCCACTGAAATCTCCTATCTGCAACCATGCAGTTGCTCAATTCTAGCCTCAGCTGAAGCCCAATCATTCATTGGTATATAAGTCGCTACAACCTTTGCAATTTCCCACTCCTTCAGCCATCATCGATCATTGAAGAAGCTTCGTGCTACTGGAGAAGGTGCTCGCCGTGCATAATTGCAGGCTATATACATTCCACAAGCCTGTAAGCTCTGTGAATTTGGAGCTCCCAGGTTCTGCATTGCATTGAGATGGGGAGGCATTCTTGCTGCTACAAGCAAAAGTTGAGAAAGGGGCTCTGGTCCCCTGAGGAGGATGAGAAACTCATGAATCACATAACAAAGCATGGCCATGGCTGCTGGAGTTCTGTTCCCAAACTCGCTGGTATGTACAACGAATTTTTCTTCCCTTGGTCCTCAGTTATCAACTCTCAATTCTCCCCTTCTCCTTCCTCTGCATTTTTCTCGTTCCAATTGCCAACTGAAATCTCTCTTGTCTCTCAAATACCTCTTGGTCAGTTCAATTTTCTAAAATCGAGAAGACAAATTGTTGCAGGGCTCCAAAGGTGCGGAAAGAGTTGTAGGCTGAGGTGGATAAACTATCTGAGGCCAGACCTCAAGAGAGGGGCATTCTCCCAAGACGAAGAAGACCTCATCATTGAGCTGCACGCTGTCCTTGGAAACAGGTAAATTTAATCCTGAGCCGTAGTATCAGAATTCAAGACTGCATATATCCAAAGTAGCAGTTGGTAATTTTAGCTGATATTAGCACTTTACTTTTCCATGAGAAGGTGGTCTCAAATTGCAGCACAGCTGCCAGGGAGGACTGATAATGAGATCAAGAATCTGTGGAACTCATGCATCAAGAAGAAGCTGAGGCAGAAAGGCATTGATCCCAACACCCACAAGCCCCTTACTGAGGCTGATCGCAGCGGAGCAGCTCCCACCATCAGCACCGAGAGAACCTCAGGGTCCAGCGACGTCAACCCATCAAGCGCTGGTGCTCTGGGGAACTTGAGCCACCTCCTCAGCGAGACGGCTCAATCATCAATGCTGATGCCCGTGTATGACAAGAATCGCGCTGAAACTCCAAACTTGGCACGCCCTAAGGTGCCACCAAAGGAGTTGTTCCTGGAGCAGCTTACTGCTGGACACGAGAGTCCATCAACCTGCCGCTCATCAGCCCAAACTCTCTATTTCCCTTTCCAACAGCCTTTAGGCTACAACAGTGAGAGTGGCAGTGGCGATGGGGCGAATATGAATTCACTCTGGTTCAACCAGAGTGACTTCAACTGCAGCACAATTTCTACAGTGATGCCGCCAGTTTCACCATCAGCCCTCTCTACATCAATGGGGCTGAATCTTCCGCCTGATAATCCTCGACATGGAGGAACTGGCATTGGAAGTACCGCAGTAGATTCATTCTACTGGGATGGTACTAATCCTAGCAGCAGTAGCAGTACTGGGAGCAGAGGAAGCAATAGTATGGGATTTGAACCACAGAGCACGAGCTCAATTCTGGAAAACAGTGTCTTCCCATGGACAGACATCGGACAAGAAAAAGATACAAGGGCTCACCTAGTAGAGGAACTTAAGTGGCCTGACTTGCTCCATGGAACCTTTGCCGAGACAACCACAGCCATGCAGAACCAGAGCCAAACGCTCTATGATGACGTGATCAAGGCAGAGAGCCAATTCAGCATGGAAGGGATATGTGCTTCTTGGTTCCAGAATCAGCAGCCACAGCAACAACTGCAGGCAGCACCAGACATGTATGACAAGGACTTGCAAAGAATGCAACTGTCTTTTGAGAATATCTAGGCATTATGTTCCACCACATGGAACAGAGCAGATCAGCAGAAGCAGAAACTTGTAATTTTCAGAGATTCGTGGGCAGAACTATGCTGAACTGCTTACATAGATACATTAAGTTGATACAGAAATCATCCTCCACAGCTGTTCCTCAGTTGAAGACCTGGCAATATCAAGGAAAGGACAGCCCTGGCATTAGAAGTGGCAGCAGAATGCATAGAAAAGTACGTTCTAGAGTCTCTTTTTTCTTTCTCTTGAAAATTGATGTTTCCTTCTGTACACGACGACTCAACTTTTGCATATTTGAGTTTTTGTTCACTCTCTGTTGGAAATTAAATAAATATAGACAGCCATGGGCAAAACTGCATGTATCGGTAGCTCTCACCATGCAAGCAGCCCCAAACTTTTCAACTGCTGCCATGCACGTCCATGCAAATTAATTATTGCATGTTGTATTTTCATTTCTTTTGATAAGTTGCCGCAGTTGTATATTTGTAAAGGAAGAAATTTGGAATATTGACCTGAGAGCTATTTTCTTCCCCTTTCACTTTCCAGTTTCTGTCGCATACTTTTCTGTGTGGAGAACCCAAGCTACTTGATCGCTTTCTACTTGAATACAGGAATGGAAAAGGATTGGTTGATTTGATAGGGTCCAAAGGAGCAATCATCCTCAAGAAGAAGTAAACACATTCAGGAAAGAAAAAGGAAGAAACTATTCATGAATATCTACCAACCATGTAGATTGGGTAATATATGAAGCCTCAATGTGGTGAGACTCAATATATGCTCCATTGAGTTTGTGCATCATTGTTTATGTGTCATAGCCATGATGTGTTCTGTAAATTTAGCCAGCAAAATCTGTTAAAGCTTTGCACTTTGGCTATGAGTTAATATTCAGCTGTCATGGGGGCTGAAGCTAGCATGCTTCTTGGGTGTCAGGATCTATTCCTCATTGCTTGACAATAGTGTAGGTCGAATTTTATTTACGTAAAATGGTGTATCACCACCTCAGGCTAGCTATGATTGAAGAAGCCCAAAAGAGTTAAAGAACTTGGTTTTTCAACGTCTTCATTAAGAGGTACATTGCCGGGATTTAAGAAGCCTTACTCGTACACCCCCCTGTGTTTTTATTTTTTTATATTGACTATTCCAGGTCTCCAGGATGCAACTTTGCCAATTACTATATTAGGGGATATTAAATAACAATAGTATTTCCAAATCATTTTTGAACTCCAAATATAATGATACAATTTTCATAGGACTGATCCATAGTCTAAAACATATTGATTTAGTTAAGAAAGTTTGGTTGCATGAACTCTAAAACATCTTAACATAGTACAGGGGATACAATGCTAAATCAAGCAATTGAGTTAACAAAAAACAAGAAGGGAAAAGATGGTGTTGCTCCTGCTGATGTATAATTTAAGGGCCATGTCATTGGCTTAGCTAGATTGTTAACAGATTTGGCTTGGCCTTTCTGGTCGGTTCCTTTCCTTGTGACTAGTCAAGAATAAACCAATATCAATATGAATTTATTTCCTGCATTGCAATATTCCCAAATAAAGCTAGTCCAATTTGGTTCCGAAGAAAAGAGGTTCACTTTAGAATTAACAACTATCGTTTTATGTCGTACAACTAATGGGGCATGGCCATGTGCGTGAAAAAGCTGGCATAAAGTGACTGGTCGTTCTACCAACAATGCTGATAAGGACCATTAGCACTAAAAAGCAATTTTAGAGAAGCCTAACAACTATGAAATCTACCAATCAGCCAATAAGAAAAACTATAAACAAAAGATATATTATACTAGCCAGAGCTTGATTCCGTACCATGATGTTTCAGCTTATGGCCATATGCACTTTAATTATCTTTATTTTGAAGAATCCTGTATCTACTCTGACGTATGTGCTGCATTATTGGACGTATCTGCATGTTTCAATAATGAATACATCAGTTGAAAAGAAAGCTAAAAAAGAAGTATGAAAGAGAAGTAGAAGTAGTAAGACATCAAAATGGCAACTTGAGAAGTGACATTGCTCCTCCAGATGAAAAAAAGACATCTAATTTATATTGTAATATGCAGTCTCAACATTGCCAACAACAGTACATTGCTGTCCACCAAACATCATCATTAGCGAGTGGAAGATAACAGGAAACAAGGAACAATATAAAAAAAATCAAACCATATAAATAAAGTAGGGCTACAACCTGGGATACCAAAGTTTCATGTTATTCAGTGATCTAGTGGAATAAAGAATATGAAAAGAAATAGTTCACTGATTCCATATGAAACAATACATAACACAACTGAAAGCACCGTATTTTTTATTTTTAATTAAAAACCTGATTTAGTTAAAATGGTTATAGTTTGCTGAAAATGTGAATGTTAGGAAAAGCAACCAATTCAAACTCATAAGAGATCCTTTTATCCTCTTATTAAACAAAATCAAATAATATACAGTGGTACAAGGAAAACACAAAGACAAGACAAAGAAAAAGATATATTCCTGCTTGATGACGTGCTGAAAGGCTCTTGCCTCTATATGACATCAGCATGATGATAAACATATGAAAGCATACTGGGAAAGCCTTGTAACCAACATAGTACTCCATTGTTGGGCCTGCAGCTATCAAGTTAAGTTCTGTTACTTTTTTGCCCTCGATGAGAAAAAAAAAAGTTCTCTTACTTTCAACACTCATAACAGCCCCCTACTAGTCATTTACACTTTTAGAGACAAGCCATATACATGAGCTGTGACTATAAATATGTGCCAACAGATGTCAATTATATTGTTGGACTGTGACCACACATATGTGCCAACAGATGTCAAGGCTCATAGAAATACTTATATTCTGGTAACCTTTGAACAGCTAGGAAAATCAGCAGCCATGCAAAAAAAAAAGGGCGTACCCAGTGCAGAGAGCTCCCGCTCTGTGCGGGGTCTGGGGAAGGGTGTTAGTGGCAAGCCTTACCCTCGCCTGTGCAATGCGAGGAGACTGCGACTCGAACCCGGGACCTTCCGGTCACAGGCGGTAAGACTCTACCGCTTGCACCAAGCCCGCCCTTGACAAAGAAAAAAAAAACAGAACAAAGAAAAACCAAAACAAAACCCTTGACACTAGGGGAGAGAGCGAGAGACATCCCGAAGGCATTACTTGAAAGGTCGGGAAAAGGCACCCAAAAGCTGGCTTTTTACTGTAAAGGGAAACTGTTGCCACAAGCTGGGTCTTCACCCATACTTTTCGGGAACGGGAACACGCAGCAAGGGGGCAATTTCTTTTTTGCGAGAACCAGGGTTTGAGCCCTGGTTGGTAGCCTCACAAGTCACAACTCACAACTGGACGACTTACCACTGTGCTACAAGCATGTCCTTTCCATAGTGCATAGGTCACATGAATCACAGTGATAACCAGGTCAAATAGAAGCAAACAATTTACAGAGCTAAAGCCATGTTATTGCAAAGGTCACATGAAATCTGCAGTGTGTGCCACTGAATTTGTGTTAGGTCCAGTAAATCAAAAGGAATGGCCTAGAATCGTAAGACAGAATTAAGGAGCAAAGGAAGGAGATAATAAAGTTGGAAGCACTCTCAATAAATGCTGAGTGCCAATGAAATGCAAGATACAGAGTTACAGATATTGGAAAACATGTCGAATTTTTTAAGACTAACCGCCTTATTGATGTATGCTATCCTATCAGACTAACTATGAAAGCTTCTACATGATAATCCCAAGTAGGAATGCCAGATGAAAAAAATATTAAGATCATGATTCTGATTTTGCTACAGAAAAATTACCAATGCAGATGATCAGAGGTGCAATCACAAATACAGAGTTTGTTGAGGCATTAAGATCTGATGATATATTGATATCCATCCCTTTCATGCATTTGAAGCCAATCATAGTCCACTCGATCTGTGCTGAGTTAAAAGCATGCAATTAGTATATAAATAAAACAACACATTCCCATTCTGTGAACTGAACTCATAATTGAACAAAAAAAAACAACAATTGCAGTATGCAAATGATAGTGTTTGCGATTTGTAGGTTGAATCCTTTTCTATGGAGGTTGAATACAGAATGGAAATAATTGTGTACTGCCAAAAAATGAGTTTCACAGGCAACAGCACACTAGCACAGTACTGTGTTTTATCAAGGGCTTTGGATAATGATAATTGAAGTACAAGGTCATCCCAACCTATATTTTGCAAAAAAAAAAATTGTAATATATAGTTGGGACTCGATAAATAAAAAAGTCATTCAAGAGGTGTTCTTATGAAGCAGGCATCAAGCATCAACAATTTATAAACAATGTGAGCATCCATACAACTGATTGGCCAAGTATTGCTTCAGAGATTAGACTCAGAGAAAGAGGGATACCCATAATCAAGCCAGGTAGTTTCTAGTCGCACCACGTATTTGAAACAAGATCAGTAGTATGGGCAGAAACAGAGGCTAGTGAAATTCTGTTTTGCCAGTTTCAGTTTTGGCCCAAGCTCTGGGCTGAAGCTCGGCAGCATAAGCCCTGTGTTCTGCACCTGTTTGGGAGGATGCTTACTTTTCAAGGGGTAACACAAATTAACTTATCTATAGCACCAATTTGGTTTGTTTTTCAGATATGTTACAGGGGCTGATGTTTTGAATAATGGTCTGGAACAACAAATTACATACTGAATGTGTGGAGACAGAGGGAGGTGCTAGAGAAGGTGACACAGATTGCTTGCTACCTGCAATTCAGTCAAAAGGATGCCACAGTGCCACTGTACAATGTTTCTATTAGAATAGCACAAACATGCAAATGGCCACGTCTCCTCCAAGAAAATAAAATCCACCCATCACTCTTTAGATACACCGTCATTAAGTTTTGACATGGTGAGAAGCATTCCATTTCCATAAGGAGTGTTCATAGCTGTCTGCCTGTCCCAGTCAGCAGATAGCCTTGTCTAAAAAGTCTACCTATGAGCTGCGGAGAGCTCAACAACAAAGCCTTGCTTTGAAGCAATTAGTGG